CCTTCCATTTTGTATGGTATTTGCCACATTTTGGCGTGTTCACCTTCCATTTTGCATGGTATTTGCCACATTTTGGCATGTTCACCTTCCATTTTGCATGGGATGTTCTACATGTGAGCATGTTCACCCAAATATTTACAGATGCGGAAGCTTGGGATTAGATAAAAAGCGGGTGGGGGGGATTGAGGGAGGGCGCTAGCTATCTATCCAGCTAGCTAGCTATCTAGCTAGCTATCTATCTAGCAAGCTAGCTACCTATCTAGCAAGCTATCTATCTATCTAGCTATCTATTTACCTATCTAGCTAGCTATCTTGCTAGCTATCTATCTACCTATCTAGCTATCAAGCTAACTATCTATCTAGCTATCTAGCTATCTAGCTTTCTACCTATCTAGCTATCTATCTATCTATCCAGCCATCCAGCTGTCTATCCAGCTATCTAGCTATTGAGCTATCTATCTAACTATCTATCTAGCTATCTATCTAGCCATCTATCTATCTAGCTATCTATCTAGCCATCTATCTATCTATCGAGGTATCTAGCTATCTATCTCTCTAGCTATCTATCTATCTAGCTGGCTATCTATCTATCTAGCTATCTATCTACCAAACTATCTATCTATCCAGTTATCTATCCAGTTATCTATCTATCTATCTATCTATCGATCTATCTATCTATCACATGTAATCCTGTCAGCTTTCCAGAGAAGGTTAGTTCGCAAAAACCAACTAATGTAACTTGGGTTTAAGTTTAAATAAAAAAAAGCGGGAGGGGGGGATTGGGGGAAGGGCGCAGCGCCTCCCCCCAAAGCAGAATGCAAGCACCTCTTCTCACATGTTACGTTGCTAGTTTTCAAGAGAAGGTTGGTCATGTGATACTCAGGGATGTAAATACTGTGCCAAATGCATCTTACATGAAAATCAAGTATTTAAAGCAGGCAAAGCAAAAAAAAAGCAGAGAAGCAAAAAAGCAGAGAAGCAAAGACACAGGAAACGCACAAAAGCAAAACAGCAGAAAGGCAAAGAAGCAGGAAAAGCAGAAAAGCAGAGAAGCAGGAAACGCAGGAAAAGCAGAGAAGCAAAGAAACAGGAAAAACAGAAAAGCAGAAAAGCAGAGAAGCAGAGAAGCAGGAGAAGCAGAAAAGCAAAAAAGCAGAAAAGGCGAGAAGCAGGAGAAGCAGAAAAGCAAAAAAGCAGAAAAGCAGAGAAGCAGGAAAAGCAGGAAAAGCAGGAAAAGCAGGAAAGCAGAGAAGCAGGAAAAGCAGGAAAAGCAGAGAAGCAGGAATCCAAAAATAATTCCTAAACCTGATCAAAAAAAAACCCAAAATAATTAGCCCTCCAGTGGAAAGTGTAGAGTGTGGAGTGTGGAGTGTAAAGTGAGGAGTGTGGAGTGTAAAGTGTAGAGTGTGGAGTGGGGAGTCTAAAGTGTAAATTGTGGAGTGTGGAGTAAAGTGTAGAGTCTGGAGTGTGGAGTGGAAAGTGTAGTGTGGAGTGTGGAGTGCGGAGTGTAAAGTGAGGAGAGTGTGGAGTGAGGAGTGTGGAGTGTGTAAAGTGTAGAGTGTGGCGGAGTGTGGAGTGTAGAGTGTGGAGTATGGAGTGTAGTGTGTGGAGTATAGAGTGTGGAGTGTAAAGTGTAGAGCGTAAAGTGTGGAGTGCATTGTTGCGCCAGCCACACAAAAGAACTTTCGACACGGTATAAAGCCAGTTGGAATGTCAAGTCCACGCCTGCCACGCAAAACGACATGACAACCTGCTTGGAAACCTTCGAAAAGGAGAGGTTTTGCAGCTTCCCCCATAGACACGGCGAGGCCACAGGAAAACCATAGACTCGAGACGAGACAAGTGGGAGCAGCAAAACGAGCATTTCGTGCGAGACTTCCTCCAATTTTGACACTTTCGACACGGTATAAAACAAGTTGGAATGTCACAAAGTGCCGCGCCTGCCACGCAAAACAACACTACAACCTGCTTGGAAACCTCCAAAAAGGAGAGGTTTTGCAGCTTCCCCCATAGACACGGCGAAGCCACAGGAAAACCAGAGACTCGAGACGAGACACGTGGGAGCGTCAAAACGAACATTTCGTGCGAGACCTCCGCCAATTTTCACAGCTGAAAACCTTCGAAAAGGAGAGGTTTGAGGCTCGAGACGAGACACGTGAGCGCAGAAAAACGAGCATTTCGTGCAAGGCTGCCTTCCTCCAATTTTGACACTTTGTATAGCATCAAAATCGACGTTTTCCTACGAGTTTTCTCAAGAACCTGAAAATTTGCTATCCCAAAATCGATATTTCGTGCGAGGCTTCCGTCAATTTTCAGCACATCTCACAAAATGCCACGCCTGCCACGGAATCTGCACCTTGTCGCCACTTGACGCAGCCCTGCCAATGCGATTCGCAAAAAACACGCAACACGACACGTTTAAAATGCTGCGCCTGCCACGAAAAATGATGTTGGACACGTCCAAAGTGCTGCGCCTGCCACGAAAACTGCAACGCATCTTCTGAAAACGTCGCTAAAGTATTGCGACTGCCACACAAAACGACTTTCGACACGTTATAAAACATGTCTGAATGTCACGAAGTGCCACGCCGACGGTTGCGGACGGTTGCGAACGGTTGCGGACGGTTGCGAACGTAAACGCAACGTTGAGCGATCACACCCTCAGCCCCCAGACCCCCAGAGTGAAACGGGAACCCTTGCTACGCATTCGGGAAAAACCCTAAGCCAACCCTGACACAAACCCTGACTAAGCCCTAGTTTGTCTGACAATATCTGACATCCTTTCTGGCATATACTTTGACATTCTATCTGACATTCTATCTGCCATCTATTCGGACATACTTTCTGGCAACTATTCTGACATTCTTTCTAGCATTCTATCTGGCATCTTTTCTGACATTCTATCTGGCATCTTTTCAGGCATTCATTCTGGCATTCTTTCTGGCATTCTCTCTGAAATTCCTTCTGGCATATGTATCTGGCATATCTTCTGACTCTTCTGACACTCTTTTTGGCATTCTATCTGGTATATCTTCGGCGATTCTTTGTGGTTAAGGTCCGGCGGGGACCACTGCGATCACGAGCTTGCAGTTGAGGTTCGGCGGGTATCACTCTTATCCTGGGCTTGCTGTTCGGGCCCGGCGGGGACCACTGCAATCACGAGCTTGCAGTTGAGGTCTGACGGGGAACACTCTGATCCTGGGCTTGCTGTTCGGGTCCGGCGGGGACCACTGCGATCACGAGCTTGCAGGTGAAGTCCGGCGGGGAACATGCACTGCCATCTAGCGCTTGTGCAGTTGAGGTCCGACCGAGGAGGAGGCGGAGGATGGCGGAGGCGCAGGAGGCGGGAGGCGGGCAGGACAGCTGACATAAAGTCTAACAACCCTCACCTGACAGGTGGGGAACTAGCCTTGAGGAAACCCTCATTAGCTATAAGCCAGCCCTATATATATATATCTATCTATTTATGTAGAAATTATAGAATATAACAACCTAAACCTAGCCTGAATATAACCTAAATCAAGCCTACGCATATTCCTTAAACGAAGCCTAAGAGACCGTGAACTAACCCTACATAAACTCCAGGCCAACCGTAAAACAAAGTCTGACGAAACCCGGCATCAAACCTAAACCAAGCCTATAAGAACCTTAAACCAAGCCTATTTACTAAATAACCCCCAAACCAACACGAAGTCAACCCGAAATAAGACCCAAAACAAACCATGAGGAAACCCTGCCGAACCCTAAACCAACACTAAATAGACCCTAATACACCCTGAAACAACCCTAAGAAATCCTAAGCCAACCCTAAAACAAAACTAACAGAACTCTGGTGAAACTGTAAATAACCCTAACCAACGTCAAAGAAAGAACATACACAAGTATATACGCGCGACATCATGATGCACAATATTGATGTAATACAACCCCCCCTGCCATCCTCGTCGCCCAGGCCGTGAGGTCAGTCACCCCTCGCCACTACTGACTTCAACAGGAGCGGGTGAATGACTCAGGGTGGTCGGACTTTGCTAGTAGGCAACTAGCTTCATCTAGTCTGATCAGTGAATCATTGCTTCAATGAGAATCAACGCGTGAAGGAATGAACGGATGGATGGATGAATGAAGGGATGGATGGATGAGTGAGCTACTTCTTTGTTGAGCTACTTCTTCACTGAGCGGCCTCTTCGCTGGGGTACCTGGGTACCTCTTGTCTCAGCTACTTCTTCTCTGAGCAGCCTCTTATCAGGGCACTTCCTCTCTGACCCTGCTCTGAGCTGCCTCCCAGCTAGCTCTTCTGCAGCTTCTGCAACCCAATTCTTCTCTTCGCGCAGCTGTTACGATTTGTTTTTGTTTTAGAAACCTCCAGCTGCAATCCCGCAAAGCAGGAGAGTGGCAGCATCACCGATGCTTTCTGGCGCGCAGCTGCCAATGCGTTTGTCACAACCGGTTGTCACAACCGGTTGTCACAACCGGTTGCAAACCCGCATAGCAGGAGAGTCGCACCAAATCGACCAATATTCGCGCAGCGCTGACAAAAGGGATGAGTCAACGCTGCTCCAAGCATGCCCGTTTTTTGCGATATTTTTTTTTGGTGAAATCGAGCGAGCTCTCGCTACAGTCTCGTGCACATTTTGCCAACGTTTACAATCTTGCAATGAACTTATGGCAGCATTCAAAACCTTCAAACCGAACCAGCACATCACCGGTTGTTGAGAGCTATCTTCAGGCAACAAAATTGTAACCCCTTCGTTCTTCCCTGGCTTGACATCCCCCTAAGCCCCAGTTCCTGCCACCTCCAGTATTCTCTTGTGATGCGATTGCGCACAATAAATCTAGACAATAAACAAATTCTATACACGGACGTCTTCAAGGATCAGATCTTATACAGAAAACACATAATATATATATATATACATACCTTATGGATATTTGATTCCAGCCTCAAATTATTGCTCATGATATCTGGATTTGTTGGGCCGTGACAGTCATGGCCAAGAATCGAAGGCCGCGAAAGATGTGGAGGCTCCGGACCATGCGAATGGCACGGAGGGATTTCATCACACGCATCAAACGCAAGAGAACAATACCTGCCAGCTGCGCCGGAGCCAAATATTTAGGGCAGTTGATCCATGAGTAGGGTCTAATAGGATAATAATACCATAACTTTGAACTTGTAATTACTGGTACATTTTTATTGTTAGACGGGTTTATAAACAGAGCTTACGCATGACGACAAGTCACCTATTTGTATGGACCATGGGCACATAATATCATATCACAATCTCTTTCTCCTGATGAGCCGTCAAAAGAACTCAATGTCTTCGCCTCGCTTAAAACATGGTATTGTCTTTTTTGGGGCCTATCGCGAGCCATAGTTTTGTACCTTCGTACTTGTGAAGATGGAAGATCAAATTTGTGTAGGGGAAGGAAGACGAAAGGAAGAGGATAGGACAGGAAGAGGAGAGGAAAAGGCAAGGAGAAAGAGAGGAAGAGGAAAGGAAAAGAAAAGGATAAACAGAGGAAGAGGAAGGGAAGAGCAAAGCAAGAGCAATCAAAGAGCGAAGAAAGAGGAAACAGAGAGGAAAACAAGAGGAAAGAAAAAGAAACGGAAGAAGAACAGTACTTTAATGTACTTTACCTGACAGTTTATTTGATACATATTTTGGCATTTGATCGGACATTCTGTCTCTCAGTCAGTTTGACAATCTATCTGACATTCTCTGGCCTGATGTGAGGATAGCAAAACTGTCACACGTTTTTACCGCTTTTGTCTGCAGAATCGCAGTACGTATTTGAGGTGAAATTGAAACCATGCCACTGCCCCAACCCAGAAAATGATGGCTTCCCCAAAACTTGGAATTGGTTTTGATTGATTCCCTGGCTTCTGTGAATGCTAGATGCTATATAGTCTAGACAAAAATATGCCAAAAATTATTGATTATTGATTGCCAGCAGATCGCCACTGCCATCGGAAAATGCGACCGACTTGTTGGTTTAAAGTGGACTTCGGATGATTGACAAGTTATTGGTTACCTTGGAATGGATCTCTCCCCATAAGAGTGACTGAGGGCCCCCCGTGCTTCACTGATGTTTTCTGAGGTGTAATGTGGGCTTAGGTGGTCCGTTACTTTTTGTTTTCTTTGCCGTAACATTCATTCATAGTGTGGTCAGGGATTTCAGGAACCACTGTTCAGAAAGAGACTGGCCAACTGACATCACAACAGTGGGTCTTATTAGAGATGTTTGGCTTGGGTTTTCTCTTTATGGCAACCTTTTCTGAAGGATACAAACATATTGCTACAGATAAAATTTCAACAAACTAGATTGGTTGTTTCTATTGGCTCAGTTAAATTGATAAGTTCAAGCTTTATTGTATGCCCAAGCTCCCCCCATAAAAAGTCACCCCAAAAGACATAATTAACATACAAGTATACACAAGTAGTACCCGGGCAAGCCGGAGGCAGAATTTTCAATGTTTTTAATCGTTAAGCTAATGTGGCAAAACAACAGAATGTGCTATACCCAGAGTACGCCTTATTGAAAAGATTCAATATAGTTATTGAAATTTGATCCATATATTGAAATGAAGGGTTTATTGAAAATTACAATATAGATATTGAAATTTATTTCAACAGAGGTAACATCAAAATTTCAACATACCATATTGAAAAAACAACAATATCATGTTGAAATTGATGTTGAAACATGTTTCAACATATGTGGAAAATGCTGTTTCAATAAGGTGAAATGGCTGTTCTCAATCTGTTGCAAATTGGCTGAGTTTCAAACTGCTTTCTTTTCAAATGGCCATGCAACAAACAGTGGCAGCAGAAGTTGGTCTCCCTGGAACCTAGCTTTTTGGCCCAAGCTCCTGAGTCGCCTTTTTTTAAGCCTTGAAAAAGGGCAGTGCCTTGAAAAGGGCATTGCCTTGAAGAAGGGCCATGGAGGAAGAGCAAAACATTGATGAAGCACAGCTGGATGTTTTAGACATGCTGATGAGACCCCCTCTTCCTGGGACCATGCAAGAGGCCATGGCCTACTGGGAGTACTTGGACTGCCAGACTGTGTCCTGTGATGCCTGGCTGTGGAGGAGGAACCTGGGCAAACCAGACTGGGGGATTAGGTGCTGGAAATGTGGAAGGGAATGGAGAAACACCTTCCAAAGAAGTGGGTCCTATTTTAAATATTGGAACCCAATAGACAAATGTCCAGCTAGGTGAAATTGCCTTGAAAAAGGGCATTGAAATTGCTTTGAAAAAAGGCATTGAAATTGCCTTGAAAAAGGGCTGTAAATTTGCCTTGAAAAAGGGCTGTAAAATTGCCTTGACAAAGGGCTGTAAAATTGCCTTGAAAAGGGCATAGATTGGAGACAGCTGCTGAAAAAGGGGAGAAAAGCTAGCAAGCTGACATGTAAGAACAGTGTGGCATTGAAACACAGCACTGGGCAGGGCAATTGGTGTGCAGTGTCAGGCTGTTTCCCTTGCATTTCCCTTGCAGTACAGGCTCAAGCTGAAACTTTGCTTCATTGTTTGATTTGCTGCAAAGGGCCAAACCTTGAAGAAAGGCAAAGCTCTGAAAAAGGGCATGGTCCTGATGAAACCAGTCAAGAAAAAAGGTGCAGGAAACCCACAGCCCAAGCTGAGAAAAAGTTTCCCTGAAGTTGACCAGGATGCTTTAGATGATGCCCTTGACAGCCACATCAGGCAGATTGGTGTGCAAGAAGCATTGAACCTGCTGGACTACAGGCATCTCCAGCCACAGCAGGCTGAGATCCCCAGAGCCATGTTCAAATTGCACCCTCTCCTCAAAGCATTGGTGCAAGTCAGCCCCAGTGCAGAAATCAGGTACAGGAATCTGAAACACAGTCTGACTGTGGCTGTCCACAAGTTTGGGGCTGAACTCTTGAACAAGTACTGGGAGGTGGAAGCAGCTTTGCTACCTGGGAGGGCTGCTGACAGCATACTTGTCCTCCTTAAACACTGGAGGAGGGTGACAGCCAGTCCAGCAGGTTGGGAAAGGTTTGGCACCAAACTTGACACAGCACAGTTCCAAGTGCTCACTGGTCTATACAAAAAAACTGGTAAAAAGGTTGGTGGGTCACCAGGCAAGAGGAAGCTGAAGAAAGAGGTGTCAGATGTTACAATGGCATCTGATGGCTTCCCTGCAATGTTGGCCACTTCTTCTGCATCAGAGGCAGAGGATGGTTCTGATGGTGAAGCTTCTGAAGCTTCTGAAGCTTCTGAAGCTTCTGCTGCACCCAGCAACTCTTTGCTTGGGTCTCCACCTCCTGTGACCAAAGCTATGTGGAGGGAAAAGGCTGGCAAGCCTGTGAAGAAAAGGACGGTGCCAAGAAAAAACCAGCAGCAGGAAAAAAACCAGCAGCAGAAGTGAAAAAGAAGCCAGGTGACACAGGCTTGGGGCCAGATACCCCAATTGCCCAGGAGACCCTGAGCATAGGTGGTGGCAAGAACCAGTCCTACATACAACACATGCCTTTTGGCCCAAACACTGTCAAGAAGCTTGTGGTCAGTGTGTCTTTGGCCCAAGCTGCCAAGCTCAAGGTTTCCCATAAGCAGCTGGTGGAGGAGCTCTTGCCTGCTTGCAAGCAGGCTGGTGCCACCAAGGCCTCAGTATTAGCTGCCAGGTTGAAACTGTTTCAAAAATATGAAAAGGCATGATGTGGATTGCCTTGCAAAGGGCTGTAGCCTTGAATAAAGGCAGTAGCCTTGCAAAAGGGCTGTGCAAGCACACACCAAAGCCTTGCACAAGGCAGTAGCCTTGTATAAGGGCTGTGCAAGCTGTAAATATTGTACATACAGCAGCACCACTCTTCTGCATACATGAGTGAAAAAAAGGTGCTGCAATACATGGCCAGGTGCTGCCAAGCCAAAAGCAACATGTTGTGTAAGCAAAACCAAGTACAACCTGAACAATGTTGCATATTCTGTTTCAATTTTGGGCTCAAGCTGCTAAAGCTGTAAGGCTTCCTTGGTTTGCAACAAGACCAAGGGCCAAACCTCGCGAAAGGGCACTTCAATTTGACTTGCCTTGAAAAGGGCATTCTGTCCTGCAGAAGGGCCAAGCCTTGTGTAAGGGCAGTGTATGGTATCATCCCCTTCCAGCCCTGACTACTCCAGGCCTTCACCACCTAAGTCACCCAGCAGAAGCAGGAGCAAAAGCAAGGCCCCAATGGCCAGAAACAGCTGGAGTGATGATGGGTGGGAAAAAGGGTGGCAAGATGGGTGGGAAGAGTGGGAGGGCTGGGGGGATGACAAGGAAGAAAAAGAATGGGCTTCCACATGGAAGACCAGAGGGAGGTGGGAAGAAGAAAAATGGGAAGATGGAGGGGAAAGGAGGTGGAGGAGGGATGAACATGGCAAAAGCCTGACTTCAGGCAGTGCCCATATGAGGCAAAGGCTGCAACTCCTGCAGGAGAAACAAGGGCTGCCAAAAAACAAGGATGAGGAGTATGTCCAAAGACTGGCTGCTATGGGCCAAAGCAGGTTCAAAAGGATGATGGGGAGGAAGGAGAAACAAGAGAAAGCTGAGAGGGAGAAGCAAGAAGCTTTCCAACAAGGGGCAGCATACCAGCAGCAGCTGGTATGGCAACAGCAGCAGCAGTGGCAGCAACACCAATGGCCACAAGGGTGGTCACAGCAGTGGCCACAACAGTGGCCAGCACAAGGTGGCATTACACTCATGCTGCTTTTTGTTTTCAAATTTGCATGTGCACTTTTTTTGTGGCAGGTGGCTATGGGTATGGTACCAGCCAAGCAGCTGCATCCCAGCCTCCAAGCCCCAAAGGCCTGGCCATGAGAGTGTGCACAGTTCAGTTCATACTTCATACCTTTTTTTGTGCAATGCCCATTCAGTTCATACTTTTTTGGGCAGGTGCAGCACAGGCAAGTGAACCAAATGCTGCAGGACTGTCTGGTTTTCTCATGGCACCTTTTTTCAAATCCATGCTGTCCAATTTTCAGGTATACTTCCCATATTTCTCTGCCAGGACCACCCAGGGATCAGAGGAGTGGCCTTGGGAAAGGGCAAGCAAAAGGCCTTGGGAAAGGGCATGCAAAAGGCCTTGAAA